TGTCATTTCTGCCTGAGAACTGATCAAGTCAGTTCAGCCTCTTATGGTGGAGTTTCAGAAAGCCTTAGAGTTTAGGCATTTGGCCTGAAATCTGTATGGTTGGTATTTTGGTTATGTTTGCACTACAGTCACTGCTGATGCACACACAGTGCGAATGATTCCCATGGGGCAAGAATTGCCAACACTTTCTTGTGAGACAACCTCTCCAATTCAAATCCCCCGCTTCCTTCCCGGACACGGCAGGACCCTCTCACCAGTGAGATTATCAGCACCAGGTTATCCAGGGTACTCCTTGTTGGTCACCTCCAGTTTCTCCATCAGCCTTTCCACCAGATCAGTTTGGGGGTACCAGAGCAGTCAGGACAGTTTGTGTGATGGGGTTGGATGTGGTACAGACTGTTGGTACTTTTGATCCTGGCTTGTGTCAAGCCCAAATTACACAGGGATGAGATCACTTGCAGTGAGGGTATAGCTGAAATGTACTTGTCTACCCTGATCAGAGTTTAGCTTCAGATCAGTGATGACAGCCCATTATGCAGTGTTTTCCTCTACTGGGCAATCCTGAGTGCTTTGTATACATTATTCTTAATTGCACTCAGACAATGTGTCCGTTGCTGCTGCACTAAAGTGAAACAGCATCAAAATATGAGTGCAGTGGAAGTGAGGTTTGGAAAGTGCTACTGGAACTGGGCAGGGAGAGCTTCTGCTCTGTTTATTTGTGCCAGTCCTGGCTCACAAGCACTGTCACTCTCTAGATTCACTTTTCTAGCCTGTTTCCTGCCCAGGCAGTAAGGTGTGAGACAGGGAGAAAGAGGGGCAGCCTGTGAAGTGACACAGATAGAAAGCAGGGCATTTTTAAAAGAGCAAATACACTATGAATATATACATATATACTGTGATATTGTTTCATTTAGATCACTAGAAGTGAAGTGAAAAAAATCCATGCAGTTGTCCTTGTTTATGTTCTGCTTTTACGTTTTGCCCCTGTGTCAGCCTGGGTAATGGAAATCTTTGAGGTCAACCTCACTTTCAGACCCTCCTTTGCTATGCGAGTCAGCGATCCTGCAAGGAAAACGCATCTCTGTCTTCAAACCATTGTTTTAATTTGAATTTGCAAATGATGTGGAAAGTTTTCTGTTGGCCTTGAGCATGACCGAAGCTTGTTTTTACAAATGGTAGGACCAAGTTAAGGCAGCCATGGGGTTTTGGACAGTGCTTGGGATGTGCTGCTCCTGAAACCTGGAGTGCAGAGCCTCCCTCGTGTGCAGAGCAGGGCACTGGGTGAGGCTTGCCCTGCAGCCACTGGTGTTGATGCCAGCCAGAATTGCAGCCCTGGGTGAAGTTTCAGCAGCCACCACTGCCCTCTCACTGCCTAGTGGGTAACTCATATGGCCAGGATTTAAGACAGCACATTTCTGCTTCATAACAGAGGCCATGCAAATGGAAGAAACTATTTTCTGAGTTTCCTGTATGCACCTAGTGACACTACTTTAACAGCATGAACTGTACAAGACGCATTATTCATGTCTGTTTATCTCTCTTGGTTTTGGCCTTCAAATTGTTTCGGTATCATAAGGCTGCACGGTTGTCCTCACTGTCCAGGGCAATTGAGAAGGAACATAAATCTGTAGTTCACCTTGGCCACCAGACAGTGTTGTGTTCGCTTCCTGACTGGCCTGCGTTAATCAGGTATCCCACTCTTCCAGCTGTAAATCAGGCAGCTGATTAATAATCACAGTGAGAGAGATAATTAGTACTGGCATGTAGCTCTTTTATGGATCTCTCTTTTCTGGGAGCCAAATCCAACCATATGGAAAAATGTAGCTGAGACACTATAAATATGATTCCACTTAGACAGTCATCTCCTCTGTTTTTTGTTATCACAGCAGTGTCAGCACAAGGAAAACAATGAAAGTGAGGAGATGCTGTTGCAGATTTTATTACAAGTTTGAGGGCTTGTGACTTTTTTCTTCTTCTTCAAGGACACTGTGTTAATCTGAAGAAAGAGGGCTTGATTTGTGTGCATTTATGCCTGCCACAATTATTTAAGAAATAGCTTCAGTGCTCATACTTTACGAGCTTTGGTTTTCTTTTAACTATTTCTGGCAGAGTTAGAAAGATATGCCTTGTGCTTTGTATCATGACAACTTGTCTTCTCCAATAAGCCACATTTTATCCAATAAGCCACATTTTAGACTGTGTCAGCCCTTTCTACATTCAAAGTAACTGTCTTCTGTTCATTGCTGTTGGATTGATGCTGTTAACTGGGTGTCTGCAGTGCAGCCAGCAGCGGCAAGTGAGGATTTCCACAGAAAGTGAAGGCTTTAGTAGTGAAGTGCAGATGGGCACCAGGCAGCAGTTCAATCCATGTAGCTGGGAATCTTTGGGCAGAGCCACTTCTGATCTTTGTGTTGCTCTTCATGCAACCCACCAAAAATAAAGAAGATCTGCATTCAAGGACCCATTCACAAGGCTGATGGTCTAATATCAGCTACTGAAACTTTACTGACATCGTGAAAACAGAGCAAATAAAATAAAATTTGGAGTAGGAATATCTCATCATAATCTGAATATTTACAGGATCTCTGCAAGGAAGAGAGTATCTTTTGAGAACAGCAAACAATTCACCCCAGAGCCATTTCTTTGTGTTAATTTCATTGTGTTGGCTTTTTAGACTTTAAAAAAAATATTTTGTTGAGCATTCATAGGCTGGATTAGTAAACATGATTTTACCACAAGTGGGAGAGGTCGACAGGTTCCCAAAATACTGTGTCGGAGAAGCTTAGGTAGGCTGCCTGAGAGGAAGGCCTTTGTGGTTCTGCTCGGTATGGAATGTAAAGGAGAGCATCCTGCCAGTGTGGGATGCTCGGGCATGGGGAAGTTACACCTCTTTTTTGGGAGGGAATAGGAAAATGCCAGCTGCAGTAGATACTGGAGAGCTCTTCCTTTCTGTTTTACATGATTATTGTTGCATTCTTGTCTTGGAATAGGTGCCCCAAATAGCTTTCTTTTTTTTCTTTGAAATAGTTGACCAACCTTCTCTTCCATAAGACAATTTTCTTTTGAGATGCCTCATTTTACTTGTGAAAGGTTTTAGAAATAACTTCTGCCACAACCATTCCCTTCCAAACTTTAAAGCATATACAGTTGCATCAATATGATACAGTTTAGGTGGGGGTTTTTTTTTTCCCTCTTTAAGATGAAAGTTGTCAGAAGCCACATGAGGTAAATTATGGTAAATCATAATTTAGTGCTAAAAAAAGGTTTTAATTCAATTGTCTCTCATAAAAAGACAATGCCATAAGAGAAATTATACTGCTGCTCTGAAGCTGATATAGAGAGTTCTGTCACTCGTCTTCATCTCATATTTCTGTCCCAGGAACTGCTTCCATAAATCATTTCTCTTCCAAGGCCTCTGTTCAGTGTACTACTTCTTTTTCTGACACTTATTCCACTAGCGTTGTGTACTGAATGTGTTATGCATTGCCTTTTGTGCATGCCATGTATTATGAAGAGCTCTCTCTCTCCCTAAGGCTTTCTGCAGCTATTTCTGTGAGTTCATCCTACAGGGCTTTTATGAAAGTCATCAGTTAGCCTTTGCTATGAAGAAGGAGATAATAGTAACTGAAAGTAGGCCAAGCTTGTAAGATTATGATTAAAACGCAGATTTTTTTTAATGCAGTGAATGATGTTCTAGTGGGTGGGTACTGGGCAGAAGTGGTGCTGGAGGAAAGTCACAGCTGCTGTGTCCTTCAGTTATTTTATAGCTTTAGTTAAATACTGACTCATGAAGAGCACAGCTACCTTTAATTTCATTCAAGTGACTTTCTTCAACAACTCCTAAGAAAGAAATGCCATACATGGCCCTGCCTTTGCTGTTTAGGATGAATCTAGAGAAGCTAGTTGGGACTGCAAATTGTTTCAAAGCAGACTTGTCATTTTCCTCTTATAATGCTGTATCTTCAGCTCTCTGGCAACATGCATGTCTCCACCAGAAACTGAGGATTTTGTAGCTTTGGAGGTCCAGTCAGGATTTAGGATTTGGATGTTCCTCCGGAATTATTTCAGCACCAGCCTTGAGCTCCCCGAACTGGTGAAGTCCCAGGCTGGCCCAAGACCTTGGTCTGAGGACTTGTACTCAGTCATTCGGTGGGAGCCCTGTGCTGCCTCCTTGGCTCTAGTGGGTCTGTGGGGCCAGTGGTACCTCCCACCACCTCTTGCACCTCTTCCTCTGTCAAGGCAAAGACCCCTCTTTTTTAGCATTTCAACTGACCTGGAATAGCGGAGTTGGAGACTTCATCTCCATGGGTGAATTTGAAAGCAATTCATCAGGTGCAGTTTCAGTAGTAAATGGTCTGTATGGGCACCGTGTGGGGACTTGATTGCCGCAGACCCTGGGCATTCAACTCCCGCCTGCAGCCCTCCCTTCATTGACTGTATTGGCCTGTACCTGAAGGGCAGACCCTGCCTCCTGCATGAAAGACCACAGTGCTGTGCTCCCGGTGTGACCGCCTTGGTGACTGGGATGGTTTTTCAGGGTACAGGGCTGGGTAAGGTGACTTTTCTCCTAGTATTCACCAGCAGACCTGGAGAAGCTCTCAGGCCTTACCCTGCTCTCCATCATTGACCAGAGGCAAGGAGGAAATTACAGACTGTAGCTTCTGGCTTAATTAGCCACTTGTTATTCCAGTCCTCTTGCATTCACAGTAACTATTTATACACACGAGACTACACACAAGGCGGTGGCTCTCTTGACCAGCAGTAGTCTTTCCATGTAAGGTGGTAACTCAGTTACTTTAAACGACAGTTTTCCGTCTTTTTGATTCTGTGTAACATGATGGGACTGGCATTTTTCTCTATTGTTAAGCATTCGTATTTCATCGGCCACCATTGTCACTGCTTGTAATCCAAATGATTCCTTGGCACCAGATGATTTTCCTAAGTATGCAACATTTAAATACAACTTGTTATATGTCTCCCTTTCCCTCCCTTCTCCTTAGATGTAAAGGAGCATCCCACTATGGCCTTACCAAGGAACGGAAGAGACGTTCCCAAGACTGCTCTCCAGACCATGGCTCCAGCTTAGCAGTAGCTGCCCTAAGCCCCGAATTGTCAGCAGCTGCGGCCATCGCCTTAATGACAGACGAGCCGGGGCTAGTGAATCCAGCCTTCAGCCCCACCTCGGAGGACAGCCAGTCAGGAAGCAGCCCCGGAGACCTGCATCGCTGCAACCGAAACAGAAGTAAGAACTAAAAGTAATGGTTTCAGAGCCTGGTGGCCTCTTTCAGCATTCATTTTCTGTGAAACGCATGTTGTTGGAGGATTTAAAAAAAAAAGAAAAAAAAAAAGGGGAGAAAAAAGCTTATCAAACTGTACACTCAGTGACCCAATAGATTTGAGGTGAAAACCAAATTTGCTCAGCTGGGGCAGCATCAAGCTGAAGATGGACTAGCTGCACACATGCAAACCGCAGGTCTTAAGAAAGATTGTTTAGGCAAGTCAGTTCAGTTGGAAGAGCAAATGACATTCATGATGTGCCAGGGAGATGGTGTAGCTGTGTAATAGCTTCACCAAAACGTGGTGGCCCAAGTAACTCACATAGACCATGCCATGGGCACCTACCCAAAAGCCTGTTGAGAACTGTGTTTGGCAGTTGCCAAGTATTTGCAGGAAAACAAACCTTAAGTGCCTTGGGAGCTTGGGGATTGTTTTCCAGCATGTGAGGGAGGTACAGCTCGGAGGAGCTAGTCCTACTGAAATAACCATAGTCAAGGGTGATTTACACCAGGAAACCTTTCCTTGATCCTTCACCCTGTGACACTGCACTCAGCTCTAATGAGTGTCGTATTTGAAAACCACGGCCTGGCCAAAGGCAGACTCAGAAGCAGTAATGGTGAGTTCAAAATTTGTATTTGAGGACTCCTTGATGGGAAAGGCTGGGCTTTGGTGGGCTCAGAGGAGAGGTGGCTGGTTGGAGGAGCACATCTGGGCAGCTGCAGCCCACCGTGGCCCACAGGGAGCCATCCCACATGCGTCTCACCCTCCGTGCCTGCCGCCAGCCCAGAGCCCAGTGAGCCACAGTACCCACAACGGGTCCGGCACATCCTGCAGCATGGCCACCAGAAGGAGGATTGCACCGGCATTAAATATTATTTATAAATTTTTAATGGCCTCAAGTTGTGCTGAGGGAAGTTTAGATGGGATATTAGGAATAATTTCTTTACTGAAAGGCTTACCAGGCATTGGACCAGGTCGCCCAGGGCAGTGGTGGAGTCCCGATTCCTGCAGAAATTTGAGTCGCATAGACATAGTGCTTAGGGACATAGCTTAGTAGGGGACTTGTCGGTGTGAGCTTAATGATTGGACATGATCTTAAAGGTCTTTTCCAATCTAGGCAATTCTGTGATTCTGTGACTCTGAAGCCAAAATGAATAGCCAACCTTGTGTTGCACCAGCTGCGTGTTGGGAGAATGGATGAAGGGCTGAAGAAAGACTGGGAAATGAGCAGCACTATCCTCTTGTGTGCATGGGGCTAAGAGGCGAGGAAAGAGAGGGGGCAAGAAGAGAACACCAGAATGAAATTAAATCCCGACAGTTTTATTGAGTTTAGAGGCCACAGTCTGGTTTGAGGGAATGTTATATTATTAGATTACAATGCTTGGCTAGCATGCAGAGCTTGAAGACAGAACAGCCACAGTGACAAAGATATCTTCAGTGAGATGGGGGAGAGTGACATGTTTTGAAAGTATTATGACTTTTCTATGGTATTGCCTTACCCAGGTTAGAAGATACATCTTAGCTGGTCCCTCCCACCTTATAATCTTTGAATTTTTGACAGGAAATTGTTGGTTATTGCTGTAAGCATTGCAGAATTTTGAGGCGGTAGTGTGGAGTGTTTTTCAATAAGAGTCTTTAACAACTTCCAATTTTGATGGGGTTTTTTTTGCAAAATATATACAGCTTGGGAAAGGCAGTGCTTCTTCCTTTTATATGCATTTTTTCACAGGATTGCTGCTGATTCTGCCTTTACTAAGGATTATTATCTCCCAGGCTACCACACTCACAGGAGATTTCTGTGTGTGGCTGGCAAAATGGACAGGGAAGGTGGCAATACCAGGGTGTGGGACAGAGGTAGGATAATTGTACCCAGATTCAGGTGGGTACAAACCTGGAGTATCAACTGGAGTCAGGTGCAAAGGCAAAGTGCAAACAACCTTGCTGTTGATGTTATGCCCCATCATAGGCTGATGGCTGCAGAAATTATGTGGTTCTAGCCCAGAACTGCTGAATTGTATTGATTTTTTTTTCCTGCTGTTGCAGCTCGACACTTTGAACGCTCCACCATAAGAAGCAGATCTTTTAAAAAAATAAACAAGGCATTCAGTGTTCTTCGAAGGACAAAAAGTGGAAGCGCTGTTTCCAACCAGGCTGACCGGGAAAGGGAGACTGTTGGGAACTCTGCTGCTGGAGAGGAAGGTAATGCTTTGTTCTCCTTGTGTTATTACTTAAAATGGGGTAGGGGACCCTATCCACATGAGAACTGTATGCCCATGACTAACATGCCTTTTATGTGGTGGGCTGTGCGTGATAAAAGAACCCAGAAAACTCAATCTTTCCTTATTTTCTTCTTTAAAAAGTTGTTAGTGACTGGCAGGCAAGAATATTACTGGGGTGTGCGAGACCTCACGTAGGGCTGTTCTGGTAACAGCCTGCGTGCTACAGCCAGACCAGTATCTAACATGCGGGATGTGGGATCTGGGCATCTGGGATCTATTACTGGAGCTGTCATTGATTTGCTGTATCATTTTATTCAAGAGGTTTCATCAGCATGTGTCTGTCCCCCTAAAGCAAACGGATCACAATGATCATACATTGTAGAAAATTCATTAGTTTTGCCTAATGTTTATGAAGCACTGGAAATTCCCAGTGGGAGGATGGTATGAACTGTAATTATTCCAGCATTTCTGTGGGATCCTTGGTGACAGACTTGTATTACCTCAGCCAGGCAGGTGATGAGGTAAGAGTGCTCTGCTCTTAAACAGGGGAGAGAGGCAAGTTTGTCTGACGTATGTCAAGGATGAGGGGTCTGGCAGGCAGTAACACTTAACATTTGGCATTCTCAAAGCAGTAAGCAAATGTTACTAATTGCTTTGGACTGTAATTATAAAGCCAACATTAGCATTCGTGCATCAAGAGGAAGTGATGATAGAGTGGGAATCGTTGTCTTAATCAAGGTCTTCACTGAGTTTATTATTCCTTTGCCTGATGACTCATCACCTCACGTCTCTTCCCAGATCAATTGTCCAGGGTAAGGGTTTTAAGAATACAAAATATCCAGCTTCCTTTTGCTCTATATTTCAAGCTGTCATTTAAACACAAAATAAGGACAAAAGACTGCCAAATGCTGTGTTTAGGCATCATTATTCTTGAAGCTGTGATTCAGAGAACAGTGTTCAATATTTCTTAAGCTTTATTTGCTTATTCCTTCAGGAGAGTTTCACTACATTACTGTGTTCTTGGTACTTATTCTCCTAGTCCACATACTTGCTAATGTAGCCAAAATAAAGCCTGATAAAAAATGTGAACCTTTTCCATAAAAATAATGTGAATCTATTCCTTGGCCTGGAAACATCTTTAATAGCTTTACTGTCCCTAATATTTGGGGTTTTTTCCCCAAGTAAAATTTTGCAAATAAGTTGTCTGTGGCTGTCTTTTAGCAGACAGGTATGTTTCTCATTCCCTAGGAACTGTTAAATCCTTTGTAAGCTAAGGGTTGCCCTTCTTCAGCTGGAGTGAAATTCTGCATGTCTCAAGTTCATACTTTTCAAAAGACATATCTTCAGGGGCATGGGGCATAGACATTTTTATGGCCATTTTCTACCTAGGCTTATAGTTGACATTAGTAATTGTTCCACTGAGAGCCTGGATTCATGTCCAGAGTGTGTGGATGATCTGGATGACAACAGTACCTATCCAGTAACCCAGTGTAATCCAGATGTTAACAGAAAGTGGTGTGAAGACTACACTGGTCTTTACACCTTCAGCAGAATGAAAAGCACTTTTGTCTCCTTTTTAAGGGACATATAATGAGGCTCTGAAGTGGCAATCATTCCAAGGCCACATCAACAGTGTCAAGATTGTCATTCTCTCCTTGATTCTGCCTGTGGTTTCATTCCTCTGCACCAAGCATGCCTGTAAACTTCCAAATATATTCTACTGCACTGGAAAAACCAGATAGGCATGTAATTACTTAATGAGCAGTTATGCTTACATATGAGATCACAGAAGCTGGGTACCTAAATTACTATATTAATTACATATGCAAATAGTACATTTTGATTACACAGTTCTGGAATTTGGTCTTTAAAAAAAAATGCAAGCAAGTAACTTGCAGTGATACAAATACAACATTAACAAAGATCTCTACTCAGTCCTTTGCAACAGGTGCTTTGGGTAACGGCATCTCAAAGGCACTCTTGGTTCCTTCCTGTTGGAGGAGGAAATGAATATACTCCTTTCTGCAACAGTTATCATCATCCTGCCAGCTGGTTGCTTGTTTTCTTCTCCAGATCTGTGTGTTTTCTTCTTTTATATATATTTTTAAGTCCTCATCTGTTCTTAACAGTCTACAGTTGGATTCCTGGTTAGAGCTGCTGGTCAATCTTTACGGAGAGCTGCAGTATGGTCTGTACTGTGCTCATGAAATGCCCAGCCCAAACCCATTGGAAAAAGGCAGCCCTACGTGTCTGTCTCCATTGCCACTCTGCTCTCCTGGGAGTGGAGGTGCTCCTGTGGGTGGTGGTTCCTGGCTTCAGAGGTCCCCACACCTGGTGTGAAAGCTGCTGCTGCCTTGTCCCATGTTTCACAGGTGCATGTCTGGGACCACCTGAGAGCACACTTCAACCATGCCTCATTGCTCCAGGAAATAGGACAACACCCTACCACCTCTCTGGTGGCTCCTTTCCTCACCAGATTTAATCAGTGCCTGAGGAGAATAAAGCTGAGACTCTGCCAGCCTCACAGTGGGCACAGAGTGAAATAACCCCTTCTTGCTAATAACCCCTTCTTGATAAAGGAGCTGTCAGATCATCTGGCAAAGCTCAATCTGTTACAGTCCATTTGCCCCCAGTTTTCAGAATTCCCTCATCTTAGTTCAGATGTCTCTATTTGACCTGTGTTTTGGTCAAAGGAGCTCTGAGAATGAAAACCATAGTGCACACCTATGTATTGGCCCTCAGGATCAGCAGCACTGATGTAAAATTAACTATATGCCCACTGAAGAGCATGTAGGTGCCTTAATTTGAAGCTGATATGTCTGTTGGACTAATGCTCAGCTGCAATATAATTGTGAGGGTGCAAGACAAAATAATCATTCCTAATGTGGGAGGAAAAATATTCAAATATCCATGATTCTGCTTAAGTTGAAGTTGAATGCAGTACTGGGTTTGGAAAACTCCTTTGCTACCCAGGGAAACTGATGTATAACAGCAAATGTGTTTCTCTTATAATTACAGCAGAGAAATAGAATCATAGAATCATAGTGGTTGGAAAAGACCTTTGAGAGCATCGAGTCCAACCATTAACCTATCACTACCAATCCCATCTCTAAACCATGTCCCTAAGCACCTCATCTACCTGTCTTTTAAATACCACCAGGGATGGTGACTCCACCACTTCCCTGGGCAGCCTGTTCCAATGTTTGACTACCCTTTCTGTGAAGAAATTTTTCCTAATATCCAAGCTAAACCTCCCCTGCTGCAACTTGTAGCCATTAACTCTCATTCTTTCACCCGTTACCTGGGAGAACAGACCAACACCCACCTCTTTACAACCTCCCTTCAGGTAGTTGTCGAGAGTGAAAAGGTCTCCCCTCAGCCTCCTCTTCTCCAGGCTAAACAACCCCAGCTCCCTTAGCCACTCCTCATAAGACTTGTTCTCCAGCCCCTTCACCGGCTTCGTCGTCCTTCTTTGGACAAACTCAAGCACCTCAATGTCCTTCTTGTAGTGAGAGGCCCAAAACTGGATACAGTACTTGAGGTGCGACTGCACCAGTGCTGAATACAAGGGACAATCACTTCCCTTGCTCCTACTGGTCACGCTATTTCTGATACAGGCCAGGGTGCCGTTGGCCTTCTTGGCCACCTGGGAACACTGATGGCTCATATTCAGCCAGCTGTTGACCAGTACCCCCAGGTCCTTTTCTGCTGGACACCTCTCCAGCCACTCCTCCCCAAACCTGTAGCATTGCATGGGGTTGTTGTGACCCAGCTGCAGGACCCAGCACTTGGCCTTATTGAACTTCATATCATTGGCCTCAGCCCATCGATCCATCAGTAAATAGTCTGATGCTGTCTTACATGTGGAGCTGGTAGCAGTCCTGCACTGAGACAATTGCTTCATGAATTTCATTTACAACCTCTGATTCGATCTGTTTAAACAATGTCATATGCACCCATTTTGGATTTAAATGATTCAGACCTTCTTTGCTCTTCTGTTTAAATGTTTTGATGATATTTTCAGCAGAGCACTGTTCATTGTCCAAACAGAAGAAAATGTTAGAAGTGAATGAAAAGTGCAAACACTGATGAGAAAATGTTTGGGGGAAGGAGGCATTAAGATTTTCTCATTTTTAATAATTTGGTCATTTGTAAATAACCTATGCAAAGAAGTATTTGCATGTAGTTCAACACTTCAGCTTGTGAAATCTTCCTGAGAGCTAAGAGTAATCTCATTAATAGCATTTACAGCTACAAATAGCTTTCCAAGTCTGAAGTAGAAGTTAGGAAAGTTTAGAAGCAATGGTTTCACTCCGAAATGTGAGGGAAGGTGACAGGGACATCCTTCTGGCACTAGTGCATTTAAGATGTAATATCTTCTGACTGGATCTACAAGTGTAAATGACCTTGACAATCTACTTAAGTGACAAAATATCTCCAAGCAAAGACCACTCCAGTTTTGCTATGCTTATTTGTATCACTGTGCTCTTAATTCGGCATCACACTCTTTAAATTCACTTCCAAGAAAGACTACGTATATATACTCTTTGCTCAAACTGATCTACAAATAAAAGTCGTAAACCAGCTAACACTTTAGGAGGAAAGAATTTGGGAATGCAACTGCAAAATCCTCTATGCAGTTTTACAGTAAAAGGGAGCTGTGCTGCTGGTTTTCAAAAATGTTCATCAGTTCCATTTTGCAGTCAAGCCATTGTAAAATAAATTGAATTTATGATTGCTTGAGGATGTCAAATGTTGTTCAAAGTCAAACTCATTCTTCTTGGTCTCATGGTGGGTGCAGTTCTACCATCTGTTATTGCTTTGCAGCAGTCAAGACCAAGGCAGCCCTGGCAGGCAGTGGCAAGACCACAGAACAGACTCGCCTGTTGTATGGGTGTATCTCACTCCTGCTGTCCAGTCTGAGCCCTGTTGTAGTATATATATATATATGTATATAAATAGATAGATAGATAGATATTATAAATACTTCAATGTTTGGGAAAGACACATGAAGAAAAGGAAGGTAAGTAAGTGAAACACAGATGGCTCTAAGTATCAACCATTTCATGGCATTAAGGTTATCTATGTGCAGAAAAGAAAGTGGCCTCTCCAGCCCCAGGTCAAGACAGCACAGCCCAAGTTCTGTCTCAGGAAGGATGCACCTCACAGGAATCCCACACTGTTCCTGTTTTCCCCAGATTTTATTCAGTTGCAGTTCCAATTTCCCAAAACAGCTGTCGGAAATCTTACAGAACTGGTTCAAAGCACTTGACTCTGGGATGATGAGCCAGGCCACTTCCAGAAGAACGGGATTGGCCCTGTAGCATTTCTTCCACTGCAGACTGATAAACTTTGCCTGCTGTAGATGAGATAACCACAACACCTTTGAGACACATTCAACTCTACAGCAGTTTCATTTTAGTTCTTTTGGGACTCCATTGGTGGGAGGAATGTCCTGAAGCAAGAAGAGACATTAGAGCTGGCAATGTCTTCTACCTGCGTCAGATCAGCGTCCCTGGAGAACTAATGGAAGACATTAAATCACAATGATGGCAAACCACTGGGAGGATGAAATGCTAAATGAAAATCAATTGGGAAGGAAGAATTGCAGAACATAGTCCCACACTAACACAAGTGGATGTGACATTCACAGACACAAGAATTTTCCAAGAATAGGTTACACAAGCTTCATTTAAATTCTGGTGACCAGGTGTTGGGAAGCATGAGCGTGTGTCCTTGCAGATAGCCTTATCTGTGGGGATGGGCTGGCACCTCACATCAGACAGACCTTCTGATCTAAATAATGACTTGCAACCTGAGACACAAGTTTTGTTTACAGTGATCTTTGATTAATCTGGACTCAAGAGTCATAGCAAACATTACACAGTGCTTTGTCACACTCAATACTGGGAATGAAGGCAGAAGTTATCCTGATGGCAGCACTGTCAGAAGGAGCATGGTGCACACGGAAGTCAGCTGAAACCTGAGCACTGAAGGAATGCTACCATTAAGTATTATAAACTATGGGGATAAAATATTAAGCATACTTAAAATTTTGTATTTCAGTCTTATTGTCACTATACTAAGGAGTGTTTGGTGTCTCACATCATACCAGACAAGCAGAGTTTACTGTGTAAAGCTAGTCTCTCCTGTGTTATTTGTTACTGTAATGGCATGTGTGAAAATATCAATAAAATTGCACACTAATATAAGAAAATATTGCTTGAGGAAAAAGCACACACAATCTTTCTGAATGCAGATGACATTTTATTATATTGACAGATTCAGAATGCTCCCTACAACCCCCGGTGACAAACACACAACAGTCTGCGGGAAAACCTGCAAGAATCACCAAAAACAAGACAGAAAGTTTACTTCTTTCTAGATTCAGCAGCTCTTCGATATTTAAGGACTGGAAATATAAAATGGTAAAGAAAGGTATGCAATACTCCTGGGTTTTCCTGCTCTGGAAAACCTGTTCAAAGAGAACGGAGAATTCTAATTAAGAGTGTAAGGGCTGGAAAATGGGGTCTGTGCAAACTGATGCTTTAGCCTCACAACAGGCTGTGTATACGTGAATGGTGCAAGCCCTCAACCCAGCTGGAGTCCCTTAAATTGGGCTGTGAGGCCCCATTCACTGTATGCAACCAGATGCTGAAGCAGGGTCCACCTTTTCTGGGTATGGTATATACATTAGAAAAATTCAGGTTGAAGATATTGCTTTCCAGACATGGTATCATCTTGGAATAGGCATGGTAGGTTTTGATTAAACTGTACACAATGTATGCAGGCTGTTTGTTGAAAAAGTGATTGTGAATTTTCTTATTCAAAAAAACATGTATTTGTGTATTTTATACTTTTAGTTTGTCAAACTCACTGTTAGTTCATCAAAACAGGCATTGGTCTTTCACTTATGACAATAAGGTGTTGGTAATACAAACATGCATGTATACATCTGGGATGAAAATAAGAGGCAGAAATTAAGGAATCATGGAGTTATTTTGGTTGCTTGGCCCATCTGAGAAAATGGTGCAATTTATTAATTATATTAGATAAAGAACACAAATCAAATGAAGACAGGAAGTCAGGCAGTACATCCTGCTAACTATGAAAAGAGAAACCTAATGACTTGCAGACTGGCAAGAAAAATGCCCTGGAAAGATTTATTTTGTTGTAGACTGCACGCTTCAGAAGGAAATTAGGTACTAAAGATTTCACTAAAATAGTCTGCATAAAGTCATATTAAAAGTCAGCCAAGGGCCACTGGAAGACTTAATGAACTAATTAAAGCATTATTCAAGATGCAAAGATATAAGTTTATACCTTATATAAAGATGTGTAACTCTCATGTAAGTGTAGAGACTCATTCACTGTTCTGATTTTGCTTTGGGATAGTTACAGACTGAAATAACTTGAGAGTGTCAATAACTTGTTCAGTCTACAGCTCTCCATGGTCAAGGAATATAACTGGGTAATTCCTTTAGAAAAGTTATTGGAATGTGTTATGTGGGAATGAGTGTTCGGGTTGAAAAGCACAGTGTGTTAGGACATGAGGTGAATCATCATGCAATGGGAAATGGAAGTAGTTTTGCTATAGGACTGCTTTGGTAGTTTGCAAAATATACAGAGATATTTATTTATGTTATTTCGATGCAGAGAAGATCTGGGAGTCCAGATTATCTTTTGCATTTTTACATATAAATACCACACTTAGAGTGTAAAATGTGCATGCTTATTCTCATGCAGGCATCAGGCCTGTGGTGATTTTTGAGGAGTACTTGTAGCATCTGACTTTAAGCACCTCATTGAGATGCCAGAGCTAATTGGCTGCTTGTTCTTACATAGCAGTGGAGAGCTGCTATGTAAGCAGCTCCAGGGATGATTTAGTTGTGAAGCAGGTATTGCTCCCTTTGGGTGCTCATGCACTATAAAGGAAGCCTGAACAAATACATCACCAAATTATGTATTTGGCTTAGGGACCTGGATTCAGATGGAGTGAATCCATCCTTCAGGCTAGAAAGAAGCAAACAAGTTACAAGCTTGGCAAATAATGTTCAGAAAAAAGAGAAGTATGGGGAAAATAAAGTACCTTCTATTCCTGAGACATCGAAGTTGTGTGCAAGACTGAAGCAAACCCATATTAGCACAGAAACTGATACTACAAGAGTGTAAACTAAATTAATACCTGGATATTAGGTTGATAAAGGCTGTATAGCTATCTAGATAGACTTTTATTGCCTGTCAACTCTGTGTAAGACCACAAAGTCGAAGTCTGTGCTGGTAGGTGATTTTTACAGACGTGGAGGAAGAGAGCTTCCCGCCCCGAAGAGCATATGATCAAAGAAGTGGTAAGGGATGCAACATGGTGTTTCTTAATATTTTTTTCCTGTTCTTTCTTTTCTCTTGCTCTCTCCCAAAAGGTTTTGGTGCCTTGCTGGTTTGTTGCCTGCTAATTCTGTAGTAGAAAATATTTATTCTATTTCAGATACTGCTCTGTTAATTTTCATTTAACACTTTACTGCTATTCAGTAGCAGTCACTATACTTTCATTTCTAAAATAGGTTATTGAAAAAATATTAGCACTTAATTTTTTGATTTACAGGTTTTTCATATAAACGCTGGATTGGACTCACACACAAAAAATTCAAAACCTTTCTCTCACTTATGGGGGATTCAAAATAATTGCAGACTGATACACCTGTGCTGGAGAAATCATTGGCACTTTTATTTCAGCTTTACTCACTGTTGAATGTGGATTAAAATTTTGGATTGACCTATAAGGAAAGAAAGTATTAGTGACATGCTGTGAAAGCAAACATACCAGTTGAAAAGTAGGGTTTGGAAGAGGATACTCTTATCCACTGCATTATAAATAAATAAAAAAAAGACCCCTGCCCAACTTTAGTCCCTCTTCCCCACACCCAGATTGCCAGGGCCAGCAGAGATCTTTCCCTCCAGGCACCTTGAGCATGCTGTGGTTTTAATACAGACACGTCACGGTAAGAGCCAGTCATTCCTACTTCCTAGAGTTCGAGCAGTGATGAAAGGAGAGGGGTCTGGCAGGGAAACTCTTGTGTGCTTTAGGTTACTTGAGAAATCTTGCCTTCCTGTTAGCTAAAGGTAAAAAAAAAACCCACTTCCTTGGATGTCACAAGCCAAGCACCCCATCCTTAGCTATGGCACTAAAAATGGGGGAAAACAGGGCAGCCTGGGATGCTACCAGTGAGACAGGGTATACATCCCACCACAGCAGGGATGGATGTTTGTTGAGGTGTCCATGCCCACCTGCTGTAGGGCCAGCGAGGAACCATGGCCTGGTTCAGAGGGGTCTCTGGTGACTAAAAATGTATTTTGTCCCTTAATATATTAGCATGTTTAACTGGTTTTAAGTACATTTCATCTGTCTGGATTATATCAATGGTTTAAGGCTCTGTTTTGTTGGGAAAAAGGAAGTTTGAATGTATTAATTAAAAAAAGATCCCTTCAAGTCCACTCAGCAAACATACGTATCCTTTCCTCCCCACTTAGTGTAAATCACATCCATGCATAAAACCTAGTTTGGATAACTGGCAGGTACTTGAATATGTGCGGAGTGTATTTTGATGAAGCAAAGCTGTGGTGTCAAATAAATACCTTACAATGTGCATTTCTAGGTTTTCCAAGGTTGTATCACCTGATTCCAGATGGGGAAATCACCTGCATTAAGATCAACCGTACCGATCCCCATGAAAACCTGGCCATTAGGATTGTGGGAGGCAGTGAGACTCCTTTGGCTCACATTATTATACAGCATATTTATCGAGATGGGGTAATTGCCAGAGATGGAAGACTGCTGCCTGGAGACATGATACTAAAGGTACAGTACTATGGAGGTATAAAATAAAAGTATCCTAAAAAAGAATAACATGGTATAAATTGATCATGAGATGAGATTTGCAATGCTGTTTATTTGTGTGGGTGGAATAATGCATGCAGAAAAATGTTCAGTTCCTCTGCATGCTGTGATGACTTCTTTGAGGCTCACAGATTTATTTTTCCTATACACTACCAGATCTCTCTGATTTCTACCCAAAAATGCTAGATATGAAATGCAATGTAGTGCAGTAGACTGTTGGCATTTCTGACCTACTGGTGCAAAAGTTTTGTTGTTTTTTTTTTTTTTATTGAAAGCAGATGCTGGTCTTTTTGTCCAGTTTATTTCTGCCAAACTGTGGGTTTAAATCTCAGTTAGGTTTCTACTGCCTTACATCCCCCGTACACCAAGATAGGTGCGAGGGGACTGAAAGCGTGAGACTCTGCCTGCTCTATTTTGGGGGCATTGCTCCACCAGCAGCCACAGGTGACATCTCCAAGAACAAACTTGAGCAGCATTTAGGCATTAGCTGTTGGCTGCTACTTCCTCTTCTGTTTCTATAGAAATGTTTAACGGATGAACAAGAATTAGGCCAGGTGGTTCAAGATCATGTATCTTGTGAACAGTGGCTTCAGCAATAGCATTTTTGGGGAGGCTTTTTGTACTGGTGCCAGCACAAAGCGGCAGATTTAACAGCACTACTCAGCCAAAACTATTTGTGCAGGGCACATCCAGACTCCAGTGGGAAGCTGTGATTACAGCATGAACAGGCCTGGCTCAACTCTCCACATCAGTGGTTGGTTGCACTAGATGAATCAGTTGGACTTGATGATCTTAAAGGTCTTTTCCAACCAAAACAATTCTATGATTCTGTTCTATGATTCTATGACTACCCAGGGATTTACCAAGGACCCCAGCAATTTCAGTCCCATGCTAGTGCAGCTCTTGCCGTTCATGGTACCCAAGCTGACAACTTAAAGTTAGTTGAGTTGTGTTTCTAGGGGTGCAGTCCCCCCGTCAGACTGCAGTGGGGACAGCCCCGTTGTGCTGCACAGGCAGTCTGCAAATACAAACATCAGTTGAACGCTTTTTTCTGTGCTGGTGAACATTTCTGTTGCAGATTGGAGATGTTTCTTAATATTTAAATAGTTCAACCTGTGCAATGTAAAACTACAAGGAAATAACTTGTCTGATTCAGGCTTTCCAGACAGCAACGAATTACAACCTTGCAACTGGTTTTCATTTAGCAGTGATAAAGTGCAATGCCTAGTCACTCTTACACACATGGACATGACAGGACTGACTGGAAGCTCTTTTTTTGCCCTTTCATTTCCCCAGCCAAATTAAAGAAGTGTCAGTTAGGCAGTTTTACCACCATCTGAGCTAAATCTTACCTGGAAACACTGAGAAATATAAAAAGTCCAATTCTCTGGTGTGGTTTATCAGCATAATTGCTAGTAAATGTCCAGGGCATTTAAACTTCTATTTGAGGCTCTTTTCTTCATTTTAATTAGAGATTCATTAGTGGGGAACTTTTTTTTTTTTTACTGTACCTAAAACTGCTGGCAGATAATGAAGAAGGGAAACAGCAGGAAAGTGGTGGGAGTGAAAGGAAAGGCTAGCAAGGCAATTTGAAATTAGCAGCTAGTGGAATAAAACTAAGATATATGAAAGGATATTGGAGCTTGGAAAAGAGCAATAATAAAGCTGAAATATAACATGTATGTCTGGAGACTATCAGGGAGAAAAGGGGAAAAAAAAGGCATAAAGTGTCCGTTCCTCGGGGGGAAAGACTGTTCTGCACCACAAACTTGGCCTCCTGTGTGACACAGTTTGAAATAGCACTTGTCACTTTGTATGAAGACATCTGCGTAAATAGATCTGCCCTCTCCAGTGCCAGTTCAGATTAGACAGTCTTTCTGCTGCTGATTTCCACTTCTGACTTCCAGGTAAATGGCATGGACATAAAAAATGTGCCTCACAACTATGCCCTGTCAATCCTGAAGCAACCCTGCCACGTGCTCCGACTGACAGTGCTCCGAGAGCAGAGGTACCGATGCCGAAACAGCGGACTTTCCTTTGATGCTCACTGCAACAGGGACGACAGTTTCCATGTTGTGCTAAACAAAAGCAGCCCAGATGAGCAGCTGGGAATAAAGCTGGTCCGCAGGGCCAATGAACCGGGGGTATTTATTTTCAACTTACTGGAAGGAGGCATGGCTGCCCGTGACGGACAGCTTCAGGAGAATGACCGGGTGTTGGCCATCAATGGGCATGACCATCGGTACGGCAGTCCAGAGAGCGCAGCCCAGCTGATACAGGTTTGTCACCACTGCTTTCACACTGGTTTCTGAAATTTGCAAAAACCAAGCAGTATATTTTCACTGTTCATTGCAAAGAAGGGGCCAAATTTAATTTAGACTCATGTGGAGAACTAAAGGGGTGCTTCTGCAATGCACTGAACAGTCTTACCACAAAACTGTCAGAAAAAAACCCTGTGCCTTTCTCAGCTACAAAATCAGTCAGCTTCTGCCTAATTTCCCCTCCAGAACCATTTTAATTTGTTTTCTTTCTTTACAGCCTACATTTTTAGAAAACTTCAACATAAAAAGCAAAGCCAAGAATCTTTTGTTGCTTTTATCTCATATTTATAGCAGTTATTATACTTGTGCATTTTGACATTTCATTTGGAGGCATGCAGAGTGTTCACATATTGAAGAGTTTCATGTGCCTCAATAACAAGATGTCAAATCAAGCTGGCTGCTTCCCCTTTCCAACAGGCATAATCAGGGTAACATGGATTGGATTGAAAGAAGCATTTGCATCCATACATTTTGTGGAAAGGATTCCTCCTTTAGCATAGGTTCACAGTTGGCTGTAGCCAACTTTTATTGAGAAGTTCATAGCACAGGTAAAGAAAAAAACATGCCCTTGCATAATGCCAGTTGTTGAAATTCTGGTCCAGCATCTCTCTGGATTACTTTATGTAGCTCACTAACTGGAAGCAGAAGGCAACAGGCGGGGAGGTTTAAATTCTCTGAGGGGAACAAGTCTGGAATGAAAACCTTTCTAAAAAATTGGTCTTCTTGGAACAGTTCTTTATGGCTACAAAACAAGGCAACAGTGCTTCATAAGCAAAAAACACATGCAGCCTAGAGATGAAATGGAAAAAATGACTAATGAAACCATTCACACAAAAGCGTTCAAAAATGCAACTAAAGCTCTTACTGGGTTCCAAAGACTGTATGTTATTTATAATAATGCTTGAAATGCACACCAGTCCCTGGGAATTTAAACAACATGCCCATCAAAGGGGAGACTCAGGTTTCCAAACATCCAGGATTACACAGCATTGATGTGAGCTCTATGAATCAAATTTGTCTAATGCAAAATTCCCAGAACCTGTGTCCTTTTTGTCATGTTTTTTCATCAATTATCATTTTGCCTTTCCTGTTTCCATGTTATGCCAGAGAAAAACCATTATACTGAAGCCACAAGTGTTTTGCATTTGCTTCTTACACGAAGGGATGTTTTACTGTGTCCTCTGATTTCTCAACAGTATCTTGCCTGTTGAGACCTCAGCATGTGTCACTCACAGTACACTGAGGTCTTCAAATTAATGTTGGTGGAAGCTTCAAATATGCCATTGGTTTCTTTAAAACCAGAAGTAACATTCACTAAAAGGTGGTGGTGGCTTGTTAGGCCAAACACAGCTGGGAGAACGTCAGATTTCTGTGGAATCTGAATAGTTTTGACTTTTAAATAATGAATAATTGAGACGAATCTGATCCTTCAGGCCTTTAGCAATTATACATTAGCATTTGTGAAGCAGTTGTTAATCAGTAGATTAGGTGTCTGGCTGTTTATAAGCTTAGTCACAAGAACTGAAATGAAGAAAACGTGTAAGTGCTAATTAGGAACGTGCACACATCGTAACACTTGGGAGTTTGCTGCTTCCCATTTGTCCCGTCATCTTTAGTCATGGCCTTGTGTCAGATGCGGCACTTTTAATCTAAATAACGTGACATTCCACATCTGTTTTCCATGGGAGCAACAAGAAAAGGAACAAGGTAACAGATCAGTGGGCGCTCATGTGAGCACAGCATGCCGAGCTGCACGGTTTCAGACAGACTTTACTGCACCCAGACGTTCACCCTCCTCTCTCCCTCTTTCCCCTGTCCCAGTGTGGAGCACATAACCTCCTCTCCATCGTGACAACCGCTGCCAAGATGGGGCAGCTTCTGCTGAGATGCGCACTGCTGCCTTTTTTTAAGATACAGTTGCCTACTAGGTGCTCAGAAGTTGCCACTGTGTCTCTGCCTCCCTCTTTGATTTGCTTTGGCAGTAACATAAATTTTGATTTGCTTTGGCTGTAACACATTTTAATTCTACTAGATTGTTTCAGCTATTACTTGCATTCAGTCTCAAAGCTAACTTCATTTCTTTAATTCTTGCTTCAGTATGAAAAACAGTGAAGGAATTGTGGGGAAAAAACAAGTGGAAAGAGGGAGGGAAGGATCAGAATGAAGAAGTAATTAGTATTCTGATCAGTAGAAAAGTTAATGAGTTTTTATATGGAAGTACATAAATACAAAAGCTGCTCTTATTGTTTGGATAACTTTTTAAAACACTCTGGACTTCTGAGAAATTACTCGACTGACCTGGAGACAAATGCGACATCACAATTGTTGAACTTTTGCTAGTTGTTCTATGAGAATTAATCACATTTACAACCTTCCTCTAAATAACCAACTTTGAGACTAACCATGTGGCAGCAGATGAGTTTTGAACAGAAGTTGCATAAGTTGAAATTGTTTGTTTTAGAGAAAACTGGATCTTTGTGGGGTCATATTCCCTTAGGAGGTTTAGTCTTGTATTGTTCAGTTCCATCTCAATAGTATTACAAACTAGGGACCAGGGTGGTTTCCTTTCTCTGGAAACACAACATTTTGGTTACCACTTGAGACCAGAGTCCAGGAATTAATATTTCATAAAAACAGACCTGGTAAAAATATCTAGAAAGTTATTTTGAAATATGTGTCTATGTATTAAATGGTATATTATGAAGCTGTGGAGGTTTGAGTTGATGGTGAAAAAACTAGCATCCCTTGAGATACTGGGAAAGTAACAAAGAACTGAACATATTTTACTGAGATATCACCTTCCTTGGAAATAGCACAGCCTGAACATGCAGATCTCAGGCTTGAAGTCAGAGGTTTAGGAGAGGCAGGTTGCTTTTTTTTTTAACTATAGTGACATTTTTCAAAATGTCATCTTTTAACTCTCAGCTACTACTATTGAATCCAGCTCCAGAAAAGACAAACCAAACTATAAAAACAAAAATCCCAGGGGCCTCCTCTGGCTTCTGTTAATTGTCTGTGGGAGATTTGATTTCAATAGCACAACTGGATCTGGGCTTGGTTTCCAGCTGCTTGTTCAACGCCAGCTTTCCTTGGAGCTTCTCCCCAGAAAGCAGGGCATGCCAGCAAGCAACTCTGGAGGTCCAATGTCCCTGGGGCTGCGGCACCAACAGGCATCACCACCGTAGCCCCAGGGGGATCAGACCTCCAGACCCACTTGCAGGGGGCTCCACATTAGACACTGAGCAGTTCCTTGGTCATACCCCGAGAGCAAACAGGCAGGAGCCCCTCTGGTGACCAGCTCTTAAGAATTCCTCTGGCCTGCCACAACACTAGGGTCTTTAGCTTGGAGAGGAGAAGATTAGAGGATTAATTTTTTTATCTTATGAGTATGCTTCTATAGCATTGAGGCTATTTCTACACCTCAGTTCAGTATGTTGGTTCACCCTTATAGCAGATGTCTGTGATTTAGCCAGCTAGACCCCACTCCCTCTCAGCTCTATCTTTGTATCACTGTTGTCTTGAGCAGGTTCATATGAGCCTCGCTGAGGAAAGTATGAAGCCATTTGCTAAGGAAACAGTGGTGATTCAATAGGACAGAAAAAATTCACCTGTACACAGAATTAATAACACTAATATCAAACACACACAGAACACCTTAAAAATGAGCAAACATAACTCAGAAGATGATTTGCAGCATCTCTCAGGCACATAAGTATTATGACTGCATTGTGCAAAAAAGCCTAAAAGCATTTAGAGCTTATTTTGAGTAAATTGTTTTGCAGTTCCTGTTTCTAGAGTGAGAGCTTGGCCTAGTTTCCCATCCTAAACTCTATTACTCTGTGTGCTTGTTTGTGCTCTGTCTCTGTGCCCTAATGCAATAGTATTTTACTTCTCAAAATGGTTGCATATCCCTTTCTTTCAGCTGCCTTATATTTGCCATGCTCATTGCATGCAGGTGGACTCATTTACATCATTTATTACCCACTTTCACCAGCCAAGGCTCAAGTACGTCCCTTGTTAGAGGGTAATTGCATCTTTTTCAGGGTTCTGGTCTAGCAGCAGCAGCAGCTCTGGTTGTCCCTCTCTCTCCTGTGTCAGGGACACTGCTGCTCTGCAGTGGTGATGTAGGGTGTGCAAGAGCTGATCAACACTCAGTGTGGTGGATGATTGCTTCCAACCAAATTTGGGGCAGATAAGAAGGGTTCTTCAGAATTAGCACCAAATTTTCAGGAGAAGTATTAAGTAGCTGGCAGTAAACTTTTGTGAACTTTATTGATCTGAACTGATGCTGCTGCTTTATGTCATTGCAACCATGTTAGCAGGAAATCCAGACTGTGCTTAAATGGGACTTGCATTTTGTGAATACTCTGGAACTGAAGGGCAGAGATTCATTGTGCTGGAGTGGTGGGATTCACGCTGTACCTTCTCCCACAGGCCAGCGAGAAGCAGGTTCACTTCATCGTGTCACGGCAGACCAGGCAGCAGACCCCTGACATCTTGCAGGAGACGGGCTGGAGTTACAGCAGTGGCAGTCCCCAGTCCTGTCCCACTGGGAGGAACAACCCCAGCAAGGTGAGGGCACGAGCACTTGTGTGGTTTCTCTGCCATCCGTGGGACAGGGGACTGGGAGGGCAGCTAATGTTTTAGTGTCTTGGGGTGTTATCTCTGCTTTCTGCCACCAGAAGAAGCATATCTTATTTTGCAGTGGAAATGTAAAAGCTGTGTTCCTCATCATTTGTACATTGCTTCTGCCCTGGCTCCATCTGGGGTGGGGAGAGAAGAAGGCAAAGGGCAGTGGTGGGGCAGGGGGCTGACGTAAACGCAGCAACCTGGCCATGGGCACAGACCTGGCCAGGGGTGTGAGCCAGCACGGGACACAGCATTCCAATGAAAATAAGAGGCTTAACTGAAGTTTCTGCATCTGGAGAAAATTCTTTAGGCAAAAAGCTTTTGTATGCTGTCCTGAGAGATTCCCATAAGCTGCTTGGAAGTTACAATAACTATTAGTCTATTGCTCGTTTCTTAAGATACTCGTGCTCTGACCCAGCTGGCAGTTTGGTGGCAGACAGCTGCTGTGAGCATGCTGTCTTTCTGTGGAGCATTGGACCCAAAATGTGTTGGTTCTGCTCTGGCAGCACCTGGTACTCATACAGGATGGGGAATACAAGGGCTGACCATGTGCAGCATGGCTGGACCCAACCCAGGGCCATGCAGCGCAGAGCAACCATCTCGCCCGGATGTGGCTCTGGTTACCAAACTGTCCCTCCAGCCCTTCCTCTGTACCCACTTCCATTGTGTGTCTAGTGCATTTGGACTTGCAGTATGCTCTCTGCGTAAGGCAGAGAGACTCTCATGGTCAAATATATGAGGTTTTAAAGCAGAAACCAATGCAGCAAGAGCTTTGAAAATACCTTTTCTGAGTTTACTCAATGTTATTCTTTGCACTATAGACAGAACAAGGTATCTCCTTGCAGGAGCTGAATTTGTTTATTTACCTACATTTAAAGTCACCTACCTGGCTAATTTACATTAATTACTCTGAGTGTTACCACTTCACAGAATCACAGAATGTTAGGGATTGGAAAGGACCTCGAAAGGTCATCTAGTCCAATCGCCCTGCCGGAACCTAAATGAGATCACATAGAAAGGCATCCAGGCGGGTTTTGAATGTCTCCAGAGAAGGAAACTCCACAACCTCCCTGGGCAGCCTGTTCCAGTGCTCTGTCACCCTCACTGTAAAGAAGTTTCTTATGAAGTTTAAACAGAACCTCTTGTGTTCCAGCTTACACCCATGGCC